CCCCGGCCATCATCTCCTCTGGCTTCAGCAGCTGCCCTGCCAAAGTGTGGCCGGCAGCCTTGGTGGCCTCCTGTGCAGCAGAGACCTGGGGACACTTTGCAAAGTGTGTAGGATTAGTAGAACCCATTCACAGGTGATGCTCCCACCTTGCTGTCCCATGGCAAGTGGGACCTGGGAGACGGTGTCTGCCGGGGCTATCCCAGCGCTGGCTACGACGCAGCTTTCTCTCTTCGGCTCGCTCTGCTTTTACCGTCCTCTGCTTGCAACAACTGGGTTTCATAAATTAAGACACAGTCAAAACTGCGATGCTGTGCTACCCCGGGAGCTCGCTCTGGGTATCGGCTGCGTTTGTGGGCTGAAGGAGACGTAGGCATCGTGTAACCCCTCTGCGGGCACGGCTGGGACCTCAAGTTATACGCAAAGCTGTTTGTATTCGTGGAGCCACCCCCCACCCCCCCCAGGGAATCACTCAAATGTTGCACCGCTCAGTAAACCACATGCTGTTCCTCCAGAATATGCAGTTGTTCAAGATTAATGACCGGGTAAATTGCATTTTGAGTTAAGGAATAAAAAATTACACTGTATTTAGCTGTCAATTACATTGTACTTTCCAGCCTTCGTTATCCCACTGCTAATCATGTAATCATCTTATCACTATATGGTAATTCGTATGTAATTAAATGGCCAGCGGTTACTCTCTAAGTAAAGAGGTCTTACCAGTAATGTGTGCCATGCATCTCAGAGAGAATTAAGGAAACTAAACCCACATGGTAAATTATTTCCCAAGCTTCGGAAGGAAAGCCTCAAGCTTTCAGCTTGACTAATTTCCTCCGATGTTCCTTGCATTATTTTCTTGGCTTTTCAGGGAAATGCTGAGGCTCTTTGGTGGAGTCTGCGATGCCGCGTTGGGCTCTGATCGCTGGGTTTTGGCTACTGCAAGGCCAGGTAGCTCCCCACGGATGCAGCTTTGTGGAACCATGTTGGCATGAGGAGCAAGGAGGCCATCAGCGGCAGGAGGATGGACCTGTCACACCAGTAAAACCTGGGATGAAGGCAAAAGTGGGTGGGGAGGATGCGATATAGCTGCCTCCTCCTCTTCTTGAAGAGTTTGTTGCTGGCTACTGCTTCAATATGGCATTTCGGGGCTTTCACCTTGATGGAGTCCCAGTTGTGCCATACGTGCACAGCCCACTCTTCCATTCCAATGAGTAGGACCACGAGGAGTCAGACAGGAGGTGAAAGAAAAAAGTGACTTGTTCAAAGGCCCGTGGTGACTCCCAGTCTGGATGTAAACGTGCCTTGGTCTGTGTTGAGCCTTGAGAAACAGCTTGTACTTCTTCCCAACTGCTCCAAAACAATACCGGGAGCTGCCAAGGAAGAGGGTGTTCTCTCCCTTTGGTTGTGATTTTATGTTACAAAAAGCCTGAAGAGATTGCCTTCAGTTCTCTTCTTATGGACTTATTCCTTAGCAGAGCATGATAATGATGACAACAACAGTAAACAAACAAACAAATTAGGGAAAAAATTATATAGGGGTTACTGTCATTAAAAGAATTGGACAAAACAGGTTGCAAAATTCACCCTGTTCAGAGCTAAACTGGTAATTCATCCGTAAGCGGCCTTGAAACTTGAGGAAAACCATCCCAGTGTGGTACAAGGGACTGAGCATGGCCACCACCAGCCTTTCCCTTCCTGCCTACAAGTCCCAGGAGCCATAAAAAAAGCCCTCGGTGTTGCCCGGTGGTTTCCCATAAGCGTCACTGAGGGTGTTGGGACGGGGGAGGCTGGAGCTGGGGTGCTTCTTCCATGGGCCTGGGGACAGGGATGGTGGAAGAGTCCAGGAGAGCTGGACTTGCTGGGAGGTGAACCGTGTCCCTGGGTGAGGAGGGAGCCCTGCAAAGCCAGTGGAGGATAAGGGATAGTGTGGTGGGTGGAGAAGGCAACGGTGGCTCATCCTCCTCCTCATGGGCAGGGGGACCTCCTTGCTTCAAACCTCTCCCTTTTGGTGAGGAGCCTTGGAGCAAGCTCACTGCTCTGGCAGCATGGAAAGTAGTCGTGAAACATCACCAGGCCGAAGAAAACCAGGGCTTTATAGACGAACCGTAATAAATAAGTGCAGGCTGCGCAGTTCCTTCAAGTGGAGAGGGAGAGAATGAACCCCAACCTCTGCTAAAACCATCTTTTAAAGAGGGAATGTGAATTCCCAGGCTGTGGTCACAATGCTGTTTTTTTAGCTGCCTTCCTGGGCTAAAATACTCCCTTGCAGTTACCACGGCTCGTACCCGGGGAGGCTGCAGATGCCCTGAGCAGGCGCACAGAGAGCTCTTTGTCTGCCCCTATCAGCTCGCCTCCGCATTTCGAGTTTGAGCAGCTGGGATGCTGGGTGGTTTTGGGAGGTGGCTTTGCCCCGCCGCGGTACCTGCAGGGACCAGCAGCCCCCAAACTTGCCTTGGTGAGGTTTTTCCCTAGGGAGAAGGATGCTCGAGAGGCGCAAAGTCACCCCTCTCCTGCTCAGCGCCGCTCCAAGCTGCACTCCCAGGGCAGAGCCGACCTCCCGAAAACTGCCTTTGTGCCTCGAGGGCTGAAGGGGGAAAAAAAAAAATATATATCCCAAAGCCTCAGGATTCTTGCTCATAAATCCAGCCCACAATATCATAGATT